TGAGGGGCTTCGGAGGAAGGAAGGCCGGGCTGAGGAGGGTTGGAGCGGCCCCGGGGATCCGGAGGGTGGATGCCCGTCTTCCCGGGCGGCGCCTCGCCTCGGAGCGCGGAGGGCTGAGCGGGAGGGTTAAATGGATCGCCGCTCCAGCTTCCTCTTCCTCTGGCTGCAACTGGAGCTCTGCGCCATGGCCATACTCCTGACCAAAGGTGAGTCTAAACCGAAGGAGAAAGGGACCCTGGGGGGACTGCAGCTCCCAGAATCCCCCAGCCAGCTTCGCTGGGATTGCAGTCCCCCCAGGGTCCCTTTCCCTCTAAGCTGTGTCTGAATTTTCTGATTATGTCTCTGTGTTGTGTACCTTCAAGTGGTTTCTGACTTATGGCAACCCTATCATAGGGCTTTCTTGGAAAGATTTGTTCAGAGGTGGTTTGCCGTTGCCTTCCCCTGAGGCTGAGAGAGTGTGACTTGCCCAAGGACACCCATTGGGTTCCATGACTGGGCGGGAATCGAACCCTGGTCTCCAGAGTCTCAAACTATTATACCAGGATGGCAGCCTTGTAGTTGCCACTTGCCGCCTTCCTGGGATACAGGGATACATCACTCGCACTCAGCTCCTCTGGGTGGCAGGGTTTAGCTCCAGATCAATGCATCCACAGGAGCGCATGGGAACTTCCTGGGAAAGATCTCATCTACATTGCGGAAATAGTGCAGTTTGACACCGTTTTAACTGCCACAGCTCCATGCTTTGCAATCCTGGGGTTTGTACTTTGTCCTTTGTGGCGGCACTAGAGCTCTCTTGATAGGGAAGGCTAAAGATTTCACAAAACTACAAACTCCAGCCTTCCAGAGCTTGGAGCCATGACAGTGTTGTCAAACTGCATTAATTTTGCAGTGCAGATGAGGCCTAATTGTCAATCATTTTTCTTTTCATTTCACCCTCTCCCCAGTGTCTCTACTGTGCCTAGTTTATCCCCATGATCTGAGAGAAAGGCCAGATGTCACACTCTCTCAGCCTCAGGGAAAGGCAGTAGTGGCATCTGGGTGAGTTTTGAGAGGAGGAAATGGGCTTGCAGGGAACTGCAGTCCCCCATACTAATTTTTCTCCCAAGTATTCCTGGTTCTAGGGGATTCTGGGAGCTGCAACCTTTTGTGCTAATTTTTCTCCAAGCTTTGCCTTCTGGGAGCTGCAGTTCCTCTATGCTAACTTTTCCCAGGCTCTGCTAGTTGGGGGATTCTGGGAGCTTTCAGGGCAAGGCAGTGGGGCTGGCATGGAGGAGTGAAGATTTCATGTCAGAGGGTTGGTTTTTTGGGGGTTTATACAAGGCCTCTTTCCTTCTTTGGAGGTTTTTAAACAGAGGCTGGATGGCTGTCTGTTGGGGATGCTTTGATTGTGAGTTCCTGCATGGCAGAATGGGGTTGGACTGGATGGCCCTTGGGGTCTCTTCCAACTCTAGGGTTCTTTCTTTGAGAAGTGGTTTGGTGCAAGATGTAGGCATGGAGAGTTACAGAAGAGGGCACTACTTTGTGGCTTGGGATTTTAGGAACCGGATTGGAGAAGCCTGGGTTCAGGATAAAACTATGTCTGATGCAGACTTGGAGTAAGGACCCTTTCACACTGCACAGTTGCAAAGCTATGTTTCCACTTTAACAGCCTTGGCTGCTTCCTATGGGATTTGCAGTTTTGTTGCACTATCAGAGGGTTTTCTTGGCAAGTTTCTTCAGAGGGGGTTTGCCATTGCCATCCTCTGAGGCTGAGAGAGTGTGACTTGCCAAGGGTTACCCAGTGGGTTTCATGGCTAAGCAGGGATTCGAACCCTGTTCTCCAGAGTCTTAATCCAAGGCTCAAACCGCCACACCATGCTGGCTTCCATCTGCAGTTCGGAACATCATTTTACGGGGTTTTCTTGGCAAGATTTGTCCAGAGGAGGTTTTGCCATTGCCTTCCCCTGAGGCTGAGAGAATGTGACTTGCCCAAGGTCAACTAGTGGGTTTCATGGCCGAGCGAAGAATCGAACCCTGGTCTCCAGAGTTGTAGTCCAACACTCAAACCGCTATGCCATGCTGGCACTCTTACCAAACTGAGATGTACTTTGCATTTTACCAAACTACAAATGCCAGTATTCCATAGGATTTTGCCGTGGCAATTACAGGAGAATCATAGCGCTAGAATTATGTCCTACAGTGTGAAAAGTTAAAAGGGCTCTAAATCCCAGTCTAAACCAGGCAGGACAGAACCGGATTACTCTTTTGCTTTTAAACTCCAGGAAATGTTGGCTGAGAACTTGGAAAACTTCAGCGGCTGGGGCCAGAGCCTGATGGCCCGATCCTGTTCATTTGGAGTGCATAGGATTGCAACTAGAAACAATTGATTGCTATTTAGGGTTGCTGCCCTATGGACAATTACTCCTAGTAAGTCCCACTGGATTTACTTCTCAGTGAGCCAGCATGGTGTAGTGGTTTGAGTGTTGGACTATGACTCTGGAGACCTGGGTTCGAATTCTGGCTCAGCCATGGAAACACACTGGGTGACCCTGGGCAAGCCACAGACTCTCATCCTCAAAGGGTGGCAATGGCAACCCTCCGGTGAAGAAACTTGCCAAGAGAACTCTGTCATAGGTTCAGCATAAGTTGAAACAACTTACAGGTGCACAACAGCAACAACAAATAACACTTGAGAAAGGACGTAGTGTAGGTTTGAGGACTGGACCAGGGTTCGAATCCCCACTCTTGTCATGGAAACCTATTGGGTGACCTTGGGCAGGTCACACACTCTCAGCTTCAGGAATGCAGTGGCAACTTTCATTCTGAACAAATATTGCCAAGAAGTTAAGTCAGAATATTCCTTCTGTTTGGAAATGCAGGACAACTCATGCTTTACAATTGCCTCCACAGTGTTGATATGGAAGAAGAGGAATAGTTTCCTACTCCTAAGTAAAACAAAAGAAAACCCATCTCTTCGTGTGCAATTTTGTGATTTAAGTCCAAAATCCAAGCACTATCCTGCAGAGCTTGAGAAAGTTCTTTCTTGGAGGGGAGGGATGCATAATTCCCAGAATGCCCCCTCCAAAAATAAAAATAAAAAATTGGGAACTTTTTGCCAAGCTCTGCAAGTGAAATGGCCACAAGAGTGTGCTTCTTGGACCCTCATCACTTGCCCTTCTCTGAGTCCATAGATGCAACGGGGGCAGACATAATGCAGTTTGACACTGCTTTAACTGCCACGGCTCCATGCTATGGAATTCTGGGATGTGTAGTTTGGTAAGACCCTGAGCCTTTTCTATTAGAAGGCTCTGGTGCCATTGTTGCTTTTGTTCCTTAGTTTCCAACTTGGGCCGACCCCATGGAGAACCTATTTAGAGGAGGTTTGCCACGGCCTTTCCCTGAGGCTGAGAGTGTGTGACATGCCCAAGGCCACCCAGTGAGTTTCATGGCCAAGCGGTGAATCAAACTCTGGTTGCCAGAATCCAGCGCTCAAACCACTATGCCACACACACTGGTGCCAATACAAACTACAAATCCCAATATCCTATAGGATGGAGCCGTGGCAGTTAAAGCCGTGTCAGACTGCTTTATTTTTTGCAGTGCAGAGAGGGGGAGTGGAATATGGCCAGGTAAAAATACATTTCCTCAGGTGAGGGAGAGTGGGGAGGAATGGCTCCCAAATTTTGCCTCCTTTTCCTTAGCAAAGAAGCAGAGTGTTTCCCCTTTCTGCTCCCAAATGGGGCTGGTGGCGGCTGTAGGGTGGCCTGGAGCTCCCACGCAGCAGGGAAGCCCAGTAGCCGCCCGCTGTGTGCCCCCACAGCTAGCTTCCCTGGGGCCGGCCATGCCATTCCCGCCCTCCTCTGCCCCCCTGCCAGGCCGCCTCCGCCACCGGGGCTGCTCCCTCCCTTCTTCCTCCTTTCTTCTTCTTCTCCTCCTTCTTCCTGGCTGGCGCAAGGAGCGCTCCATGCTCTCTCTCTGCCTTTGAAGCCGGCTGCCAAAGCTTTGTGAGCGTGTCAGGTTTCCTCCTGGGCCCAGCCTCACAGGCCAGAACAAGCTCGCCTCTTCTTGGAAGTGGAGCTGCTTGGGTTTCCTTCCCCTTCCTTTCTTTCTTTCTTCCTCCCTCCCTTCCTCCCTTACTTCCTCCTTCTATCTCCTTCTTTCCTTCCTT